CCGTAATTTTGCACATTGTAGTTGCTTTGTTCATACCCCTAGCCTTCCACGTAGACGAGCCCTAAGAACGTCTACGTGGGAGGGTACCATACCTCCTACTCATGGCAGTGTTCCCGAACTTACCGGTAGCAACCCATAGTAAAAATCATTCAAGGATCCTTGACGATCTTCATGACAATATTATCCAGGATCTTAATCAAGATCCTCAAATATACTGGTCAAGGTCTTCACAATTCTTGCTGGAACTTCAAAGATCTTGAATGATCTTAAATGATCTCAAATGATTTTGCTCAAACATCTTGCCAAAACCTTTGAAGCTCTTTGAGGATCACTGCAAAGATCTTTCTTTACAAGATCTTCCATGTAAGGATCTTTGCAATATATTTCAAATATCTTTTAAGAATGCTTGAAAGATCCTTATCTTCAATTATCTATAGAAGGTGTTTTGAGATCTCCAAAGATTCTTACTGATCCTGCAAGGCTTTTTTGCTGGGAAATGAGCAAAACGCCATTTGATATTAGACAAAGTAAATTTGTATATAAAGTGGTTATTGTCAAATACCCCATCGATCATCCCTTTCTAGGCCCAAAACATGATACAAACCAATAGTAAGTACTTAAGGGAGGAGTTCCAGACTTCTGTTAGCCCTGAAATGGTCAAGGTCGTTGGCCGCGTACTGCCAGCACCAAAAATCAAGCTTGGACCACAAGATCAAGCTTTGGTTCCACGAGATGGTTCTTGGGACATGCGTAGCAAGTTGCTTCATGAGGGAGCGCTCATTAGCACTTGGGCCTTAGCTTGTTTTGCCAGTAGGTGTAGCGAAGATCAGCTGAGGAACTTTTGTAACCAAATGGCCTCTGTGTCGACTCGAGAGGGAATGTGGATGACAGAACAACCAACTGCTTTGGAATATCCTGGGGGCTTCTGTGATGTAAGAACTGATGTGTTTTTCTAAAAGTATACTTGTCAAAAACTTCACTTCAATAATTATGAAATATCCATTCTATTTCAGATCTAGTTCTAAGCATATTTTGTCACATTTCCTTTTAGCCAATGTAGCCACAAAAAGTCCAAAATTTTAGTTGACTTGTTGAACATCCTGAGGGCAAGTGTTTGAACCTGACGAGTTTCTCTGTGTTCTGATTTTGGACAAAGCGCTGCTTTCCCTGCCTATTGATCATTCCTTTAATACTGGTTCTGATAAATTGTTGGGTACCCTGCACAATGCAAGGCTTACAAATTTCTCTTACCTATCAAATTCAGTTTGACTGCTTCTCCACAAACCTTGAAGATCTTGTGTCTTTTTTTGAAAAAGTTGGAATTAGGGCCATTTAGAAAATACTTTAAATATAAGGTTTACATTCTCTTAAAGGATTTGACAATTATTCTTGATGTTGAATGGTTCAACTAGGACCACGTAGATATCTAAACAGCAATGGACAAACTTGATTTCACAGTGAATGCTACTTGACAACTTTTGCCCTGCAGGCAATCAGACGCTACTGAATTTTTCTGGGCCTTTGGTTAGAGTGAAAATGACTTCCTTTAAGAACTTTTGGAAGAACAGATCTCGAAATATCTGAACCATATTTTAGTCCAGGGGAGAGGGTGGAAAGTGCCCATGTTGGATAGTACCGTTTGTAACATTTCATGTAAGTTCAAGCTGCCAAACGTATGACCATGATGTAAAATTTATCGAGAATGGTATGGCAGGTCACTGTTGTCGGAACTTTCCCTGTCAACCATATTGTGACAAGCGAGGTTTTCAAAATTTGCAATTTTCTTGTTTAACTCAGTTTCATGCGGTTATATTCAATTTTAGTATTCTTAGGATTGATTGTTTTAGAGTCATTTTTGGCGGTTTTATGACGTTTTGTAAAAAACCAAGAAATTCAATAAGACCGATCCAAGATAGCCGCTATCTGGATTGTATCACGACGTAATTTTCATTGTGTTTGTTGTTATTATCCCAGTTCATTAATAATACATTTTTTGGATGCATAGTATAACCTGTAAGCCTCTGATCATTCCTGTAATATCCTTGAAGTTACAGAAGTGGCAGACCCACACTCCCCTAACCTTCTTAGTCGTTGAAGATAAAAGGCTTGGTCTAAATAAATTAGTGCACCCGTGTAAATATGTTTAGGATTAAGTCTGCACTGGAGTACTCTCCCATCCACAGCCCGGAAATCCCTTATGTGGTTCTGATTACAGTTGCTAGAGCTAAGGCTGGCTCCTGAAATGAGGATTATAGGAAACAACTTCTTGTTTTAATAATGTTTTGAAACCCAAATGGAACGATTGACGAGACTCACTGAAAGGGAGCTAGGAGAGATTCACACATCTTTGATTATTAACTCTGGACTTTTGATGGATTTCAGGCCCCTATAAACATATGCGTATAGTTTATTTCATATAGGCGATGAATTAAGAAATAATGCAGAGGCGAACTAGGATTTTATATGCTCTGATACAATGAACTCTTGTTTTACTTCCTCGTTTGATCAGGTGGAAAGTCTATTCTCTCAGTGGGCGGTAGATTATCCACAACTACAGCTTATCATAGCTGTTCTGCCAGATAAAGCCAAGGAACTTTATTCAGAGATCAAACGAGTTGGCGACATTGTCCTAGGAATTGCCACCCAATGTGTTAAAATTCAGCACGCACAACAAGCGAAACCTCAAGTCTGTGCCAATATCTCTTTGAAGATAAACTCCAAGTTAGGTGGAATTAATCATGTGATTGATCCGTCAGAGAAGTCCCCCGTGTTTAGAGATCCTGTTATCATCTTTGGTGCGGATGTAACACACCCCACTCCTACTGAAAATGGGATTCCATCTATCGCTGCTGTTGCGGCCAGTATGGATGTAAATGCAACCAAATATTGCGCACGGGTTCGAGCGCAGAGACACGAGAAGTCTAGAGGTCCTCAGGAAATTATTAACGATCTGGCTGTCATGGTTAAAGAGCTTCTTATCGAGTTCTACAAAGCGAATTGGAGACGTAAGCCGTCCACAATCATTTTTTACCGTGATGGAGTCAGTGAAAGTCAGTTTGACCAAGTACTGATTCATGAAGTGCGAGCTGTTCAGGTGGCCTGTATGATGCTGGAAAAGGAATATCGTCCAAGAATCACTTTTGTTGTGGCTCAGAAGCGCCACCACACAAGACTGTTCTGTGAAGACAGACGAGATGCTTCAGGGAAAGCTCAGAATGTACCACCAGGCACCACTGTGGATGGTGGTATAACACACCCATATGAGTTTGATTTCTACCTGTGCAGCCACTATGGAATCCAGGTAATCTGACGCTATGTAACATTATGAAAAAGTTGCTTTCTCTTTTTTAGCTTATTGTAAAATAGCGTATTGCAAATAAACCATGAAGTTAAACCAATCTCAGGGTACGTTCATTTTGGAAGATTTGGATCAGGATTTGAAATCCAAGATCACTAAGATCGTGGTGTATCAAATGACCTAGTGAATGCACTGTGGACAATGATTCGTTGGTTTCTTTGATGCACCATGATATCGATCTAAGTCACCTTGGATCATAGGCCTGATCTTGATTGTCCCAAAAGAACGCACCTTTAGACCTGCTTGTAAGGACACCTGACACCCTTTTATCAACCAGTCATTTATTCTCGCTGTCTGTCGTCTGTGTCTGTCTGTCAGTCAGTCAGTCTCTCTCTCTGTTTATCTGTCTCCTTCATACGAATCCCACCTGCTTGTCTTTTAGAGGCAGTCGATCAGTTCATTCCCTCCTTTCCTTGCCTTTGCTTATTAACTTAGTTTCTGCTGACCAAGTTACTTATTGGTAATATAAACGTTCTGATTTCTTAACTTTTCAGATAATTCTCCTCTTCTCCCACAGCGCTTTTCGTATTATTCTTGTTAAACGTATGCACTACGTAAATGTAATCTTCGTTTTAGACAATAAGGATGTAAAATAATTCCTCATCAGGGAACAAGCCGACCCACTCACTATCACGTTTTGTACGACGATAACGCCTTTACAGCAGACGGTCTTCAACAGCTCACTTATCAGCTGTGCCACGTATATGCACGTTGCACTCGCAGTGTCTCCATACCAGCCCCCGCCTATTATGCACATTTGGTAGCATTTCGAGCCAGACGCCACATGACCAACGGCGAAAATGGAAGGTAGGCCTTTTGTGGCAAGATTTTATGGGGAGCCGGGATGGTGCAGTGGTGGGAGCGCTCACTTCCCACCAGTGTGACCCGGGTTCAATTCCGGCCCGGTGCCATATGTGGGTTGAGTTTGTTGTTGGTTCTCGCCTTGCTCCGAGGGTTTTACTCCGGGTTCTCCGGTTTTCTTCCCTCCACAAAAACCAAATCTCTAAATTCCAATTCGATCAGGATAGAACACCCACATGAAAACCAGCTAAGCCTGATGTGGCTTCCTCTCTAAATATTGTAATATTGTATTTTTTATCAAATTCTCCACGTGTGCTTTCGAGTTTTTTCGTGGCCTAGTGTGTTTGTTTGTATTTTAATTCTTCTCGTGTTCAACGTTTTAGGAGGGGGGACACTGTAGATTTGGAGAAATCTGCAAGAGCCATTCAAGTTCATGACAGAATGAAAGAAGCGATGTATTTTACGTAAACAATTAACATGATAATACTGTATATATGTGCTCGAAATGAAAAAAAAGAAAAGAAAAAGATGAAAAATACATCGCTGACAAGTAGCAATACCGCGTAAATGTCTCCATGAATAACAACTGTTTATGAGAATATGTAATCCTGATATTCCATTAGTTTTAAATATTTTTTCCTGACTTTTAGGTTGCAAGTGATTTGAAAACGGTGATGCATTCTGCTACATGTAGTTAGCATTCCGGGGGGAACTCCCATATAAAAAGGACAGGGGTGGTCATCGTACCTTTTAGGGCTTAAGAGTGAGGTTTTGGTACCTCTTAGGGTGTTCGGCCTGAAGTGATCCACAGAGGGAGCTTTTACGGTGCCTTTTAAGCCCC